TGATTCCATGCCGTGCTGATCACATTTCGACGGACACCAAATATCCCTGCGGCGTGACGTTATGTTGATCCACCTTCAGGTATCTGTTTATGCACCTACCTGCTATCGTCATAAAATATCCACCCGTGAAGGACCAGGTTAGAATATTGATCTTCAGTAACTCATGCTTGTCGTAAGAGGCGACTAACGGAACGGGTTGTCAATTGGTTGACACGTGTTATCGGTTTCCCATTGCGCAGATCGATGCTCATGCTGTTGATCACTGGGTTGTCTGGCCCAGACTCGATTATTTACAGACCGCTGCCATAAAGCTGGAATATTGCTGAGTGCGGCGTAAAACTAAACTCACTCACTCACAAAATATCAAAGTCTTTGACACTGAAGCAGTGTTCAACTGACGTCCACCGATTCACAGCGAGTGAGTGAGTGATATGATTTTACGTCGCCTACAGCTATATCCAGAAGTATCGCGGCAGAAGACGCCAGAATGGGTTTTACAAACTGGGGAACCTTTAACGAGACGAGCGAACGCTACTCCATCTGCGAAGATACACAAACACGGCCCTCTTGCCTCTGTCCACAAGACTGATGTGCTGCAAAGGCAACCACAGCATTAGGGATAAATTAATCTTGATCTGGTGGCAGGTTTTGCTGACATCATCAAAACTTGATCCTTTACAAACTGTGAGCAGTATATTTACACCCAAGACATTGGTTATTTATATGTGAAATAAAATATCATTCTCGTGTCTTCCAAGGATATCCTGACTCTTTTATACAAAAACATCTACCGTACTATAGCCAACTGTTCTAAACTAGATTTTGCAAAATATTCCATACTGTTTAAAGGTACTGTTTACACATGAACTGATGTATTGTAAAACAAATTCATAATGTTGAAAAGATTATTGTCATGAGTTCAGTAAATGATGAAAATCAGTGAAAATTGGCGAGTTCTTAGCAAAACCTTACACCAAAACGCAGCTGTTCACATTAACGATATTTGCACATGCTTTCAGCAATTTGATGCATGATCCTCGAACAATTCATGTGCATAAAGTTTGCAGTTGGTTCCCCCAAGTTAGTGGAGAAATTCATCTTCGCTGTAACCATATATACTAGCCACATAAAGAAATTATGTGCATAGTCAAAATACCCCAGTATTATCCCAGTTGATAAGTACAATGTCAAAGGTACATATAAACTTTAATGGAGTGATCATGAGACCATAACAAGTCGGGAGAATTTCAATTGAAAAGTCAATCACATTGACGTCACGAGTCCACAAGCGGGACAGGGGTCAAACGACCATGTCACAAGCTCAATAACGGGTATGTCCACCATCGGCATTGAGAACAGCAGTGCATCGATGACGCATAGAGCCTATCAAACGTGCAAGGAAGGCTTGTGGGATGTCACGCCAGATTCTCTCAAGTTCTGTTGCAAGGTCAAGGACGCTATCTGGCGGATGAGGAAGACGGCGTAGACGTCGATCCATCTCGTCCCAAACATGCTCTATCGGGGAGAGATCCGGTGAATTTGCAGGCCAAGGCAGTAAGTCAACGTTGTGGTGTTGCAAGAAATCCATAGCAACCCTTGCCGTATGAGGGCGGTTATTGTCCTGTTGGAATGTTAACCCAGGGCCATGACGTTGCAGAAAAGGAATTGCCACAGGTCGAAGAATCTGATCCCTGTAGCCCACACCAGTTAAGTTGCCCTGAACAATCACCAAAGGAGTTCTTTGGCGTGCTGTTATTCTACCCCAAATCATCACGGAACCACCACCAAAGCGATTCCTCTCCAAGACACAGGCCTGTGCATAACGTTCTCCCACGCGTCTATAGGCACGTTGACGTCCATCACTATGGGAAATGTTAAACCTGGACTCATCTGTAAAAACAACATTTCTCTACCAAAAACAAGGGTCTGCGGACATGATTTCGGCACCACATCCGGCGAGCTTGTCGATGACGTTGTGTCAGGATAGGCCGTATGACGGGACGTCGTGGTCTGATCCCGTGATGACGTAAACGTTGTCGAACTGTGTTGGGGTGGATACGGCGAAGTCCTGGGATGGTTCGGGCAGTCATCACTGCAGTCTGGAACCTGTGGCGCAGATGGCGCACCCTTATCCATCTGTCCTGTCTTGGCGTTGTTACACGTGGACGTCCAGAACGTGGCCGATCGATGACGTCATTTGTGTTCTGGTAGCGTCTCACCAGTGCAGAAAGGGTGTTCCGGTGGCAGTGGAAATGTGCAGGCACTTGTCGTTGAGACATTCCCCAACGGACCATCCCAATGGCCTCATGACGTTGAGCAGACGTGAGCCTTGGCATGCTATGCGTTTCAATAGCCGTTAAATTTTTTTTTTGAACGATCGCAAGGGCAGGGGTTGAGCTTTCCAAAGTGACAGTATTGTGTGGCATTCATTTGCTCTGTTTCTCTTTCCCGGAATGCACGTGCAACAACCTATTGCACGTCTCAAGGACGAACCCACTGCATGCATGTTGGATACATGTCACTAATCTCTGAGTTTCAATTCTTATGTGTCTACGCAGGTTTGATAAATTTAGATTTTAAATTTTTGTATGCACAGTTTCTTTATGTGCCTAGTATATATATATACATAACATGTAGAAAATACTTTAGGTGAGTCTAAAGTTTTGATGGGTAGTATTTACTGGGCAAGCCTGCACCATTTGCAATTTTGATCAACTCGTCACTTGTCTTCAGAAGAACTCTTTCTTAAAAAGCATGCTCATGCATAACTCTAACATCTTACTAAAAAGACAGCCATTTCAGATACCATATTAGATCGACCTTCTACTAGAGTTTGTTAGATCAGTATAGGCAGTGTAACGAATAATACTGAGCCTAAGTTTACTTAGACTGCATCAGTGTGCGAATGTACACATAGCTCGAGATGTTCATCTGCTTGGGTTCATATATCACAATAAACCATGGTTTGTTTTTCAAATATTTTATTTTTTCACCTTGCCAGTAAAACACACAATAAAGGCCATAATGAATTAATTATTAGTGTTTAATCAAGTTTGTAATGAATGTTAAGTGAGATACAATTGATTTGAAATGTTATATAGTTGGTTTGGTTGTTGTTTAACACTGCACTCAGCAGTATTCCAGCATGATGGCGGTGGTCTGTCAATAATCGAATCTAAACCAGACAATCCAGTGATGAACACCATGAGCATCGATCTATGATGACATGTGTCAACCAAGTCAGCGAGCCTGAACACCTGATCCCGTTAGTCACCTCTTACGACAAGCATGGGTTACTGAAGATCAATTCTAACCCGGATCTTCATGATATGATTTTCATATGTCAAGTATATACTAGTGAGTGAGCGAGTGAGTGAGAGAGAGAGAGAGATTGGTTTTACGCTGCTTTTAGCAATATTCCAGCAACATCACGGTGGGGGGACACCAGAAATGGCAAGTATATACTAAATATATCTAGAATATGTGTTTGCCTCGGTCAAAACTGGAGTAGTGTGCTTTATATCCAAGAACCAACATCATCAGTGTTAATGACCAGGTGAAGGATCATTAACAAAGCGCAAACATTTTGTATATATATCCATATATGGGTGCTGTATACATTGTGTCTTTGAGGAGAGCACTTACATAAGTATCTGTGGATGATATAGTATGACCAGAAATTGAGAATTTTAGGAATATGTTTAATTGGATTTCTAGTATAAACAACCTTGACCAGCTATCAAGTGCTTGGTTTCATTCAAGAGAGACAACTCCGTTAATTCTTTTTCATTAGTTTGTGAAGAGTTATCCCCCTTTGTTTACTTGCTAGCAGACGACATTTTCAGTGATCCTCAGTATGGATGATTTGGAGAAGAGGAAGTTGATTTTAGAGTATTATAACAAGGATATCAGATCAGCTAAAGTGATTTCAAGTACAACAGGCATCCCTTTGTCCACTGTTTGTGTTTTGATAAATATTGCAAATGGATATGGCATTGAGCACCGGGGAGGCGCAGGTAGGCCCAGAAAATTGACTGTCGGTGACAGGAGGCGGCTTGGTATTCTTGTTTCTAAAAACAAACGAAGGAGTTTAGAAAACTTAAGGCTGGATATGATTGATAGAGGAACTGTGGCTGTCTGTAAGGAGACAATTAGAACTTAGCTGCATGCAATGGGTTGGCAGAAAAGTCGAGAAATTCCATCACCAATCATGAAACCTGAACAAAAGGAGCGATGGTTGAACTGGTGCTTACAGCATAGAAATTTTAACTGGGACAATGTGATTTTCTCAGATGAAAGTTCTGTGTGGCTGTTTCCTAATACACTGAAATTCTGGACCCAACAAATTGAAAAACCTTTGTATCAGCGCCCAAAGTACAGTCCGAAATGTAACGTGTGGGGTGGCATACCTGTGTTAGGGGCAACGCCCCTCTGTGTATATTTGAAGGAATCATATGAACAGTGAGCGGTACACAGATATTCTCGAGGGACATTTACTTCCATCTGCTCACGTGTTCTATGGAAATTTTTTGATTTTCCAGCAGGACAACGACCCAAACATCGTTCAAAGCATTCACAGGCCTGGTTTCGGACCCAAAATATGACATTATTATATTGGCCAAGCTATAGCCCTGACCTATATCCAATAGAAAATGTTTGGGGACTTATGAAGGAAAGTGTCAATAAGAAAAATCTGACAAATATTGCTGAAATGAAAGAAGAGGTGGTCAGATATTGGGACAGCATGGACCACGACTTTTTAACTTCTTTGATCAGTAGTATGCCCCGCCGCATTGAAGCCTGCATTGCTGCCCATGGTGACTTGACAAAATACTAACTGTTCACCTGTCTTTGAATCTTGAGTTATGTTTTGCTAATATTCACATTTAATACGTGAGTAATGAGTGAAAAAAAATTAAAAATGCACAATCTTTAAATTCTCAATAATTTCTGGTTGTACTGTACAAAGGCATGAGAATTGTAAAAAAAAATTTCTTATGTCATAAAACAAGATCAATTTTGTTCTGTTCTGAATAATTGTACATACTGATGTACACAAAAACAATAGCCACAGATGACAGACACAGACGCACGCACACATGCACTCACTCACTCTCTCTCCCCCCAGACAATCCCATCACCACATCGGATGAACAACCAATCAGTAAAAAAAACAGTCAGTCAGTCAGTACAGAAGCATCCGTAAGTCCAACACTTTCACTCAGATGAAGCTGAACAAACAATGATACAGGAACTGTGGTTATTAATATAACTGTCATTCCTGGAATTAACAAATACAGAGCTATATGTACCACATCTTACCCTCAATAAACAGGAAGTTCAAGAGAACTAGTTTGATTAGCAGCTATTGCAAGAGAAGATTGGCATTGGTTTAGTATGGTTTAGTAATATGAAACACAAAAACCAGCGCAGGACCTGGAAGCCTTGCTTTGTCCACACAAATATAGCTGGACTAGGTGCTCCTACAGGATGACATGCATTGTGCTGACAAATCAAGGATCTTAATCAGGACAAATTTCGGATTCTAACCTATTATCAGCAGGTTCAGGCACAACTAAGGGACACAACTCCACACAGCAAATTGTGGCACCTTGTGCAACTGTAACACAGCATAGCATGATCACAGAGGATTCAATAGTTAGATTCGGAATAACATTACAAGATATCACAGACCAGATCCTGAGACATTTCAATAAAATTAATACATTCATAACAAAATACACTCATAACCCTTTCCCCCAACAGATACAAATATAAAATCACAATGGTCATAATTTAAAATAGACAAACAAAACAAATGTATCAACTATCAAAGATCTGTTTTCTTTCTCTTTGAGTAGTGTGCAATCCATTTCTTTGTCAGGTCAAGATAATACCGTGGACCTCCTGGTGCATAATCATCATAGATATAATTGTCACTTCTTTTAGGAACGGCTGATTCTATCTGCGTGCCCTCATGCCATTCATTATAGGAAGTTACTGAAATAAGAGATGGGTTAACATTAACGGCAGCTTCAAAGGACATTTCGTAATATTTCCCGTGATCTCTGCTCTTGGTACTTATACTGTTCCAAGGCCTCACTCGTGTGTATCGACATACCCAGGACCAACACTGGGTATAAACAGAAGACCCTTTGCCTTGGCAAAGGCTTGTATGATTCCCCAATTCCTCCATGTGCTGCCGTAAGTAAATCCATTACTTGCAAAGTACGTATAATAGCCATCAAAGCCTCCCGTGACAATGTCTTCTCTGTGTCGCTTCTCAACGATCAAGCCAACGAAGACACCATCAAGATCTGTTCCACGCACCGTCAGTTCCCCTTTAGGACTGAACACTTTAGCCCAGTCTTTGGCTGGAACTAGGTAGGAATCGTAGATGTAATATAACGGGAGTTGCCTCCCTTTGTGCATCATCCTGAAGAAGGCGGGGTGCTGACCGTATGTGTTCAGGATGTACTGGAGATCTGCTCGCAGTGTCAGCTGGCTTCTGTTCTTGTAGGGCTCGATGTGGAATGTCACCTGTAGACAAAGATACATCCAGTCAACAAACACACCCTGCAAACAGGATGAGGTGGCTAGACATCCTGACTTGTGTGGTACAAAGTGGATTATTGTGGACTGCCATCATATGGCTGCAATACTGCTGGGTGTGGCAAACAAGGAAAGTGACTAAATACAAGCAGCACTGGGAAATATCAACATGTAGTCCGGGTGAATAACTCTCTTTGATCAACTGTTACACTTTGTGTTGTTGTTCAAAGCCTAACTCTGACAAATTCCAGTTGTAACGATGGGTTGAGTCCCCTGGAAAGTATTCAGCAATACAACAGCTCACCTTCAGACTGAACTTGTTGGCTTTCTCCATGATGAGTGGGATGAGTCGGTCGGGGGGTATCCCCTCCTCATCTGCATCACTTGGGGGGTACCAGGACACCGACACCACTCCTGGAAGCACAACACAGGGATTGTGACACTGAAATAGAGTACACTTTGAACTACAATATTAGCTGACACTTTTTATAAACATTTACCAAGTTAAATATGATTTGAGAGATAGAACAGGAGAAAGAAGCTTATATCAAATGATATAAGACATATGTCGATAGACAACTTTAATCTTTTAACAAATTATCTTTTCTGTTAATTATATGTGATTATATATATATATCATACTATAACCTGTAAATAGCAATCACACTTTACTTTTCCTTCAGTGCACTGACTGTGATGGGTTTAATGATGCCAGCCATTATCATTATTACGTGGTTGTCACACTAACCTCCATTAAGTTGGATAATCATTGGATTACATTAGTTGTATTAATATTTTTTAAAAAGTAAACTTGTTGAGCAAGAAGTTACTAAACTTGATCAATCCTAGGTTCAATCAAGCTGTCAATGAGCAATGGATGGTTAGTCATGAAGGAGAGTATTCATAAAGGAATACGGTGTCTTGGCTTACTAGATCTATCAGATTAATAATGAGAGAAATATTATACACTGCTTTGAGCAAAGTTCCAGCAATATATGGTGGTAGAAACCAGAAATAGTTTTAATCGCAACTGGGGGTAGATTATTTACAGACTGGCATGATATTTCTAACATCAAACAATCATATATTAAGCAGTTTTGTGATATGACTTATCATGTTGATGATGTTATACCACTACAATAAAGTCAGTATATTTTACACATATATTGGTGTATATTAATTTTCGTGCACAACGTGTGACTAATTCATCCAATCATTAACTGGCATAACCTGCTCCTGTGCTCCGTATCTCACTCATGTGTTTTTCAACCACCTCAGGATCACCAGAGCTGTAGGGACCGAGAGATGGGTAGAAGTTGGCGCCAATGTCATCAGGTGGCTTGTGTATCCCAAGGGGCCATTTCACCATTTCTGCTTTATTCCAGTGCGGGAGAAACCTGTGATTCCAGTGAAAATATTTCCCATCTGTTTGTGGATTACCGTACCAGGGATAGTAAAATAAGTGGACGTTATAATTTATCATTGGTAAGTCCAAGCCAGCCAGTTTGGGAGCATTTCCTTGATTGAACTGAACGTCAAAGCCAGCTTTGTTGAGCTTGTTTTGGTGTAAATGGAGGAGTTTATTAAGCACTGGATTATGTTTATTGTCAGAGTTAACGATCGGCTGATCCCGCAATGTCTCTGATCCCTTGGTGTCAACTTTAAATCCAGCTTCATTAAGTTTCTTCTTGTGGATTTGCTCCAATTTCTCCTTAACAGATGCTCCCTTGCTGCCATCTTGTTTTTTCAAATATGGTGTCTGCTTGTCTGCCTTTGGGGGTGAATGGGTTTGTCTTTCTTTCTCAGACAATTTTTCAAACAGCAATGGTGGGCGTTTCTGAAGGAGTGGGTTTGGATCATCTTCCCTAAATATCCTCCACTGGTGACGTCCAGAATGTCGACCAGGTTCTTGAGTGGCGTGATTTTGGGGCAAGAAATACATACCTAAAATTATCCACACAAGAAATGAGGCTGCTCCCAGACAAAGGATGCATCGTTCTAAATTCACAGTTTTCAGATATTTCCTTAACTTCATACTTAATTGTTCCTTCACATGATTGCTTCACATTCCTGTGCTTGACCCTGAAACAGACAAATAGTGTGGCATGGAAATTAAATTATCAAAATTTGTCAGACATATATTCTTAACCTGAATCTCTTTGAGCATCATATATATGTTACTTCTTTCATACAATGTAAACAGAAGTGTTGAGATGCTGAGCTAAATTTATTTTGAGCTTAATTTATTACTACAAAGACCACACATAAAAAAGGTTCTCAAGATCCTGAAACATCCTACAATCTCGTTGTTAACTTGACTTCCCCAAATAAAATAATATGGAAAATCAGTTAAACTGTATAATGGTAGGTCTATCACTCAAGTTCATACTCTACATTGTCGTATGTTGTTCATGTGAGGCCCTCAATAGGTTTGTTATTCTCTACTTCGTAATAACATGCAGAATTGGCTCATTTAGTTGCCATATTAAATACCAATGAAACATCTATAGTACAAAATATATTCATGCTGTAAACTATGCAGTCTGTCACCAAACATTTCTGTAGCCATCACCATTTACAACCCTATATGGGCCCCAGTATTTGGTTTGTATTTTAATTTATTCTGTATTGCGTCCAGATTTGATGTGTTGGTTTATCAATACATCAACCACCCTTTAAAACACTTACAAGCTTCAGACGTAATCTGACAGCGAGAACATTACATCTCCCATACATAATCACATAGGCCATGGAGCTATTTCCGAAAGCCACGTGATTGAATGCGTATGAGGGTACAGCAAAATTAAGGAATCAAATACGATTTGTGATCTATTTTGTGTTGACGGATCCGTGAATGCACATTGAAATAATCCACTATGTCTTGTCCTTCTCTGGATAGCTCATACATATACATATAGACCTTTTGGTCATATTGAAAAAGAACCATTTTAGATTATCTCGTCATTCGATTTCCAGGTTCTTATCTGTATTGGTGTGTTAATCCGTATTGAATATTCAAAATATGTTATGGTGTTCCGTTTATTTAGGAAGATATGTCTCCACTAGTACCTGTTAGTGATTACCTGAACACTGAGGGGTCTAATTCTTAAGTTGTAGAAGAGACAGAGGTGTATATATTGTGTTATATGTATCACATACTAATTGAATATTCAAAATATGTTATGGTGTTCCGTTTATTTAGGAAGATATGTCTCCACTAGTACCTGTTAGTGATTACCTGAACACTGAGGGGTCTAATTCTTAAGTTGTAGAAGAGACAGAGGTGTATATATTGTGTTATATGTATCACATACTAATTTGCAACATCAGTTGTCAATTTGTATTGATTTATTTTTAGAAACTTAAGAGAGTTCGCAAAAGCTTCCTTTCGCATTTCAGAATTCCCTGTCACGTCTTTGTGAATATATGCTGTAGTCACTTCGTCTGTATGGAAACATTCATTGAATGGATTTTCTTATTACTCTCGATTCGTTCCCAAGCCAGTGTGACTTTTCTAACTTTCTCTTGGATATTGTTAATACAACGATTGATTTCATTGGCTTATGAAATATAAAACACCAATGAACGTGAGACTAACAACTCGGATAGGCAAAATTATGGGCTACATCCCTACCGCCATTTTGCTCAGCACGCTATGTGAGGATCACATACCAAAGCGTTGCGAATATATATTCTATTTCGTTTTAAAGAGGACGAAATAGCTCATAATGGAGGCCGTTAGAGCTTTCAACAATGAGGTATATATCAGAGAGCACCATTTGATTTCTAGTTATTAATATCTTAAGCTATAAACAAGAAGAAGCTTGCCAAGGGTACAACTATCGCATGGACACCACGCCGGTGGTGGTGGAATCCAAACATTCGCAACTCCATTGTTGCATTGTTATCGTGTCATGGTTTACAAATAAGTTTCTAGTGTTGTGCGTTTGTAAAATGATTAGGTACAGTACTCGCTCGCCTCACGCGAAAAACACCGATAGAATTCTAGAAATGGCTTGATGTATCGCGAGTAGGAAATATATGAACGTCGCTAGCCTATATTGGAAGCGAAATCACGACAAAACGTAGTGTGTTTTTCTTATTTATTTTGTCCTTGATGTTTATTACCGTCACGATTGCTGTAAAGCCAGAACATATAGATATTTAACAATCATCGAACATTTAACAATTATTGTGTTGTCTGTAATTTATGATGTCACTTCACATTCTAAGAGATATAGAAGTAGTTTTAGCAAGAAAACAGGTATTTGTGTCAGATATGATGTTAATGTAAAGTGAAAGCCTTTCCATTACTGTTCCTCTCAATGTCAAGTTTTGAGTTTGTTGTTAATTGCCGATTTAGGTTATGGGTAACTATTTCCTTGAACAAATCTTATTGTATAATATTGGGATAACCTGTACTTTTTAACTTTTTACTTAAGCTAGTTTTGTGGAGAAAATGGTTGGCAGAAGTGCACTTTATTAGGCATACCCTACCTTACAGTTCACCCATAGGTCCATAAACTATGGGTTGTTTGGCAAGTGGTGCCTGACTGTATGGAGGGGTGGGGGGTGTGTTAGGTGAAATTGGGTTTATCGTGTGTATTTCACTCATATGCGGCGTGCATGTGTGTGTATGTGCGGCTGCTTGTACTAGCCCAGACTGAAGCTGGTTTTAAAAGTGCTAGCCACTGAGATACCATGCCGCAGTGAAGCTTGAATACCCCACTCAGACACATTATACTGACTCGAACCGACCAGTCCTTGTACCCAATAATGCCAAGCACCAGGCAGGGACCAACAAGTACCATATTTTAACGTCTTTTGGTATGACATGGTCTTGGATCGATCCCGCGACCTTCTGCTCTCCGGGCGGACGCTCTAACCACTACACCACAGAGGCGGTTGATGGAGAGTAAAAGGGGGGTTTGATCAGTTAAAGGTAGCAAACCAAAATGATGGTAAAGTGGTGCTTGATCCAAATAATTTGTGAAGCAGTAGCCAGATTGGTAGTCTGAGCTAATCAGCACTACAGCTAGCTGCACCCAGTAATCGATTGTGATTCACATTGCAACAAAATTGCATTACAAAATTTAGGCCAATACTCGTCATATATAGTGTAATTCATTTTGTCTTGCACAAAGCTGAATTTGAGACTTTAGTCATTTTCCAAATACCACTCTTGAATTGTACGATAGTACTGGATAATCGTCACCAGAAAGAAGTGTTTTCTGGTCAAAATAGTCCTATGCATCATCCCCAAGTTGGGATAATGATGCCCCCAGCGAAATATTTATCACATAATTAGCTAACATGCCATCACTGTTGAGTGAGATACTTGTGCAATATTGTCAGGATTTATGAATTAGATTGTGTTGAGTGTACATCAGAATGCCAGGTGGTGTGGATTGTTGACAACTGGGTTCCTTGGGCATTGCAATTGTGACACTATTTCACAGGTGATAGTACCAGTGGATCACCACCAGCTCCTCAATTTGACATTGCCCTGAAGCATCATTGCATTGTAAATGATCGCTAGCTGTAATGGACATTTTTAGAAATTTCAGTAATTTTCTTTTAGTTTTTCACTATTATTACTGAAAACAAATGTCACTGACAATGACGGTCGGCAAGGTAAGAGTGACTAAGAATTGTAGACTCATACCTGCAGATAGTGGAACATTCTTCATTGTATCAACCACTGTTCTGCTATGATCCATGCCACTATTATGTAATGTTTTCATGCATCATCAAGTAAAGCGTTATGGTTATAGACAAGCAGTGACACATGGCTAGTGTAAATCTGTGACCTGGATCTTAACGGTCAGCATGCCAGTATCTTTGAGAATTGTGGGAAGAATTGACGTTTTGATGGATTAGACTTGGTTTGAATGAGTATTCAGATTTGATTATTGCTCATAAGTACACTCTGGTCTGGTGAGAACTCAATAATTACAGAGTCACCATATAGCTGGAATATTGTGGAGTGCTGTGTTTAGCAAGGAGCAAATCCTTGATCTTGTTTGTTGTTAATGTAATGGGGGCAGTGGGGTAGCCTAGTGGTTAAAGCGTTGGCTCGTCACGCCGAGGACCCGGGTTCAAATCCCCACATGGGTACATTGTGTGAAGCCCATTTCTGGTGTCCCCTGCCGTGATGTTGCTGGAATATTGCTAAAAGCGGCGTAAAACCAAACTCAGTCAGTTAATGTAATGCTATAAGATGATTGAATGATTGACCCCTCTACTTTGTGAATGAATGAATGACCCCACTATTTTGTGAATGACCACACTACTTTGCAGTCACTTTCTGTAAAAAGTGAGTTGAAATTTGTAGGGTTAATAAATATGTCAGGACCCAAATGACTGCAATACATGTACTTACTTCTGCAAATCCTTCTGTAGTTGGTGTCAGTTTTGGCCCACCTTTGACAGACTCATGATTGCTCATACCTCAACCCTGAAATAGCAATGCTATTCTTAGCTAATTAAATATAACATTGTTCATCTACTTACTGTTTTGTCATCTAGTATGTAAACTGTAAAAGTTAATCCTGACTTTGGCCCTTGGTGCCATCTTCTGTTAAGGCAGCAGTATCCATAGCAGTTGATAGTTTCAGTAGTTGAGAGTTATTTCCTTGTCGTTTGAGTATCTGCTTTTAATATATTGAATATTGAGCCTTAAATTTGGTTTAGTACTATCACCGTACTGGCACAATTGTTTACAACTATTGCATCACTATTGCAGTCACAAAAGTGTAGATCTGTCAACATGATTCAACTAGAATATATCTTAGCAAAATAATGTTTCAGAAAGTTGTTGAAGATTTGTGTGTTGATGTTACTTTTTATTCTTCGTTTCAGCTCTCCTCATTATATGAGGTTCGGCCTCCTATTTCACGTGCCAAAATGGCAAATGTCACTAAATGTGCCATTAAGGCCATCAAGTTCTACAAGCATGTTGTTCAAAGTGTGGAAAAGTTCATTCAAAAGGTATGTTTCATCACATTTTATGTTGTACTTTTGGTGTAATCTACCTCGACAATAGTCTGTTATAATATAACCCTCACCCCTTGTTAATTCTAGCATCCATTCAGTGTTTCTATCCCGGGCTTCACTGTCGTTGTTGTAGTTATTCTGTTAACACACAGTTGTAGGAATTGGTTCACAAATCAGTTTTTCAGGAGTTCAATCAGGAGATTGGGATCAATAATTTCTTGCTTTTTATGAAATGTTTTTATGTGTTTCAGTGTAAACCAGAGTACAAAGTTCCCGGTTTGTATGTGATAGACTCCATAATCAGACAATCCCGCCACCAGTTTGGTTCTGACAAAGATGCATTTGCCCCAAGGTTTACCAAGAATATAGTCTCCACCTTCCAGAATTTGTTTAAGTGTCCCCCAGATGAGAAGGTGAGTATCACTGCTGGATGGACTGCACGATAGTCCCATAGTCCTAAGCAGTTATAGATGTCAGTGTGTTTAAGAGATTTTGACCATTTTGTACATGCTACTCATAGTTACATATTGTTTTAGATCAGAGTGATAAGCTTGAAGTATAGGTATTTTTAGTTACACATAAGTTTCAAACCAGTATGCCGTCCCAGATATTTTTCTAGTTACTTGAACCATGTATCATCTGCAGTCACATTCAACTTCTCTTTCAGAGCAAAGTTGTCAGGGTACTTAACCTTTGGCAGAAAAATAGTGTCCTTCCAGTGGATGTGATTCAGCCTTTATTGGATCTTGCTGCTGAACCCAATAATGTAGACAGGGTGTTAACTGGTGAGTTTTCAGTGTCTAAACTCTTTTGTAAATGTACAAACATGAACAAATGCTTTACTTGAGTTATGAAATAAGACAGCCATTATCAGTCTAGCTAGCAGTTGGGTAAAGAAAACCTTTTAGAAAGTTTTCAGATGCTGATTGAAGAGTACATACACTATTTCTGACACATATATTTTTCTGACAGCTCAACGTGCTGTGGAGAAGGTGGTGACTGCACACCAGCAGAAGAGCCATGGTGGTCCAGGGGCAGGACCGGCACATGCAGGGGCCAGCTCCAACATGGAGACGAAGCCAGCTCCACAGGATGTCCTGGCAACACAGAATGACATGCTGGCTACTGTCACCAAGCTACTACAACAGACAGATGAGGTATACAGTTCTCCAGTTAAATTTGTCATAAGACAGTAGTATCCTTGTAGATGAACATTTCCAAGACTTTTTGCATTGATGTTTTTCTCTTATATGCTAAGGCCTGGGGTCTCAAATATTTGTGAGAATCAAGCCATGTACAGCGATTTGCCCCATAAGAGAGTGCTATCTTTCAGCCTCTGGATGAGGTTGTTTCGTTCTCAAACCAAAATAACTGCTTAGGGAAATTTGAATACAATTGCTGAACAGATTGTTTGAGTTGATCAGCTGGGAAATTGGCAAAAGCAGCTTACATCCCAGCATCCTCAGTTTGTTCCACAGGTTCAAACTGCACACAAAAAATATAAATATAGGCACACAGCGTCTTTATACATAAATGCAGGTGTGAACACAGCACGTATTGGAGACAATCAAACGCTCATGCATGTACCAGGTGACGTGACATCATTAATGGTGGCCTATGGACTTGCAATTTGTTACTGCACGTGCGGCCCGTGCAGCTGCACACATGTGAAACTCAGAAATTGCTGTCACTGTCGAAAGCTTGATCTTTGGTTCACAAATTCACATGAGAAGTCACATTCACATCATGCCAAGATTAACATCTGCTCAACATCATGAAGTCATTGGAATGGTTCGAGCAAGACTGAGCCAACAACAGGTGGCAGCCATCATAACACGATATCTGCATTGGTCAGGCGTTATTGAAGCACTAATGACATCGCCGACCACCCACGTTCTGGGCGTCCCCGAGTAACAATGCTAAGACAGGACAGATGGATTCGGGTGACTCATCTCAGACACAGGTTCCAGACGATAGTGCCACGTCCCAGACCATTCCACTGCGCCGTATCCATCCCAACACTGTCAGGTATCATTTCTCATATTGGATTCAACTACGACAAAGCTGCCACATCACCCATTCTGACATACCATCATTGAGACAACTGTCAAAGATGGTGTTAAAATCAAGTTTGCCAACCTTGAATATGGTGGAGGAATGTTGTGTTTACAGATGAATCAGGGTTCAACATTTGATTTCCCATAATAACTGGCACCAAAATGTCTAAAGCGTTTAGGGGAACGTTATACACACAACTGTATCGTTGAGAGGAATCGTTTTGGAGGTGGCTCTGTCATGATTTGGGGTGGGATAACAGTACGCCACAGAACACCTCTAGTGATTGTTCAGGGCAATCTCACCGGTGTTAGGCTACAGGGATCAGATTCTGGAACGTCGTGGACCAGGATTGACATTTCACCAAGACAACGCTAGTCCTCACATGGCTAGGGTTGAAATGGATTTTCTCCACCAGAACAATGTCATATTACGGCCCTGGCCTGCAGATTCACCGGATCTCTTCCCAATAGAGCACGTGTGAGATGAAATGCAGTCCCGTCTACACTGTTTTCCACATCCTTCCAGATAATGTTTGTGACTTGGCACGGGATTCGGAGTATATATGGCAGGCCTTCCATGTTCATTTGGTAGCTTCTGTGCGCTGTCAATGCACTGCTGTGCTTCACACACACAGTGGTCATACCTGTTATTGACTTTGTGACTTAGTCGTGGGACCCCCCTTCTCGGTATTGAACTTCTGATGTCATCGTTATGGATATTGTTTGTTCTTTTGACATTTTGTTTTGGTCTGATACTTCAGGTTATAAAGTGTCTACATCATTTTGTCTTTGCTGTGTTGTATTCCAATTCTGAATCTATGTTTCTTTATGTGGCTAGTATAGTTGTCAACAAGCATCAGCTCGGCATCGAAACTCTTCTAATACATTCTTCATTAGGACCAGGCGAGCAAACGGTAATCGCTCCGCCATTTTCAAGGTGTTGCAAGCCCGGGATAAGTGATTCATTTGCCTACTCTAAGCGATTCCCGGCTTGCAACACACCCCAGGTCTAATAGGCAATGTTGGGACACTTAAACATGAAGTATTTAGACTTTTGTAAATACTGACTGACGGGAAAAAAGGTACTTCTGAAAAGGTTATGTAAAAGGGGTGTCTTTTCTCGTCATGCAATCTGAAAAGTGAAAAGGATCTTCGAAAGTAGGAGAGGTAAATTAGAGTTTGACTAATTGCAACAGGAATATATACAGATGGTTCGTACTATAGTACTGTTGGAAATAGAAAAAAACTGTTTTCTCATTTATCTCTACAATTTATGTAGTTGATATGTGAAATATCTGTTAAACTAAGTTCGGCCTAACTACAGTCTCAGTGGTAGAGAGATAGGAAACGGAGAAAAAGGACTTTACTGAGGGGAAATTAGTGCAGAAATGAGCAATGCGTTTTTTTATAAGTCCAAAAAGACTTATTTGGAACAGACCATGGCTTTATGCAAATTAGTGTGCGGGTATATTGTATTACAAAGGACACTTTTTAAATGCCCAATTTGAAATTAGATGTAGATTCATTATATACGATAGCTGACGTAAAAAATAATATCTTTTATGCCGAAACCATTAAGGATGTAGCTACCATGCAGTCTCACTGTCACTATAAAAAGAAACAGATAGGAGGGGTTGCCTCAAAAGCAAAACCTGGGGTCGGGCTTGGGAATAGAGATATCAGCTAAGATAAGATAATCCTTTAGGGCAATTATACTGGGGAGGTACACGGCACGTCATAACAATTTACAAATAATATCCAGTCCTGTCGATCTTCGGGTGGTCATGCCACCTATGTACTACGATGCGTTCCTATGGTTTTGGGGTATCATACTCTCATACATATCTCAACATAAACTTTATGAAAGAAAGACATTTAAGATGTTAATCAGTAGATGAGACATAGTCAACACACATGAAAAAGCACAAAATATCTTTGAGATGACCCCTTGTGCCTGTAGGCAGCACGTGCATTTCATGCCAGGTGAGTCGACAGTCTGTCGTCATACCTGGCTGAACGACCTAATTGCCATCTATAGTCTGATCTATTGTTTTCAGCAGCTATTCGTATTTTTTCTAAGTTTTGCCCGATTTTATGAGTGAACATGCTTTTCTGGATATCGTATTACGCATCCCACTGAATGCCCAGTTAGGCCAAAGTAGGTTATTTCGACATATATGCTATTTGCAATTGTGTAAATTTTAGGGATACAGAGTAACAGCCTAAAAACAGTTTTTTTCTATTTCCGACAATACTATAGACAACCTGGGTTTATTCGCAAGAGTGTCAGTTTCCTTGCTGACAGCAGCATTTCTCTCAAACCATTTTACCTCGTCACAAATTTCTCCCTCCCCCCACAAAGTTCATGTACAAAGTAAGCTGCCCCCAACCCCCATGCATGTCATGTACAAAACCAATGACCCTTCCCCCTTTATGTACAAAATTGCTGACAACCCCCCACCTCCCTAGTAGCCATAAATTGTAAACAGTCCCTTATAAGCTTGGCGTTTTCTTGAATAATCTGAAGTTTTTCTGTCGTTTTGGGTTGCTGATAGAATTATGGAGAATGGATGAGGCTGTATCTCTTAAAGGAAATGGCAAGGAGCAAAACCTTGTGGTTAAGTAGATAGAGACAGACACATGCCGACATTAGCTATTTGTGTTTCTCAAGGAAAAGATTTACAAATCAATATTCATTGACTCGGACACATCCCTACATCTGTGTTTCCCCATCTCCAGCAGGGAGCAACTAGCCTGAGCTCCCAGCAGCATCAGCTGCAACAGCTGCATATTCTACAACAGCAGCTGATGCAGCAGACCGAGCTTATGCAGAAGCCACAAGAAGCTGGGCCCATCATTGACAACAACCTACTGGCACAGATCCAAACACTTACCAACCAGCTGCTCAGCAAGACAGGAGGAGAAGGGAAGGGGCCACCAGAACCAGGCTTCAACAAGGTGGGTCACCATGGTAACAGATTGTTCCATTGAATATCTGTTTTCTTAACTTAGAACTGTTAATTAAATGTAGTATAAGTGTTGCCCTATTTACAAATTGTTGTTTGTCTAAAGGAAACTCAGTCATGGGTTTCACCAAAGTGGTAAAGTGTCAGACGTACTTTATTGTATACTTTTATCCCACATTAGGCTGACAGACCATAATGTGATTGCAAACAAATCAAAACTCTGTTCACAGAACTTACTCACCTCTTTAGATGCTCAGACTCTTTCAAAATTTTAGAAGGATGTGTTACATTTTATGTGTTTGATTGATTGTTTCAGAAACTGCTTGACTTTGACTATGGCGAGAGTGATGAGGATGATGAGAGGAGGGAGGGTGGTGGTCACCAGGGAGGAATTCCTGGGTACGGGTAATGAAACTTTTACTTATATGTAGTGTAGTTCTGTGTAGAATCCAGTCTTTCTTCCTTCTTGTGACATGCAATTGCATATTTTACTCTGATATAATAGTTCCCTGCCTGGAGAAAGAGCTAGGAAGCTATGCATCTGAATGCTAGCTCTGGGCTGTGGGATTTGATTTTGCTTGGACAAGGTCATTCTGATGGTGATTTGATTGTTGTAAATTTTATGTTCACAACCTCATCCTGACTTTATATGTTCTGAGTTCGACATTCACAACAATACTTGATGGAGAAGACATCCGTATAGTTCTGTCACAGAGTGGAGACATCGGTATAAGATTAACATGATTGACAAGTCATGTTATTATTTTCTAAGACAAACAAACCAATATCTTGCAGAATGAGATGAGGAGTTGTGGGTGTCTTTAAAAGAAGGAAATAGTGGACATTATTCACCTTTAAGTAAAGAAGATTTGAAATAGAAACTCCTACTTTTAGATAAACTTGGTACAGCCTGGCATTTCCTCACTGGAGTTGTCCTGCAGCTGCTTGATGTTGCCTGCATGTGCTTCGTGACAGTCACATTACAATGTTCATTTCTGTGGATAAAATTATGCCCCCTATATCAGGAAATGCAATTAAAATAGTAAATCTTTATGTTTACGAATTCAGCATTTAGTTCACCAGAATCTATGTAGTTGTTTTACTGCACACAATATGAAATAGCAATTTCCTTCAGTACTTTTCTACAAGAATGCAAATCCGTGAAGATCCGGAGTAGAATAGGTCTTCAGCAACCCATGCTTGCCACAAAAGGCGAATAACGGGATCGGGAGGTCAGGCTTGTTGACTTGGTTGACACATGTCATCGGTTCCCAATTGCGCAGGTCGATGTTCATGCTGTTGATCACTGGAAAGTCTGGTTTCAGACTCGATTATTATAGACTGCCGCCATATAGCTGGAATATTGCGGAGTGCGGCGTAAAACTGAACTCACTCACTCCAAGAATGGAGGTACACTTTATACTCTCTGAAATGGTGAACAGTAATAGTGATCAGTTATCTCGATTCCCAATGTTTACAACTGAGTTCTTCAGGGCATACACATGAACCTACTAAAGGTCCATGAACCTGAGACAGTTCTATGATGGTTGGGCTTCAGACTAATGGCTGAGGTCACTGACTAGTGACCTGATTACTGCCCATCAGAGAAGAATGAATGGTAAGATGATGTTCAGAATAAAGATGACCAAGTGGTGCCTGTTTGCAGCAATGTTCAGAACATCCTGAATGACCCCACCATCATGCAGCATATTCACCAGATGTCGCAGTCTCTGCAGAAGTCGGGGCAGCTGCAGTCCGACATGGCAACCCAGGAGCAGCTGCACAAGAAGATGCTGCTGCAGCAACAAGAGGAGTTTGACAAGGAGATCAATCAGGTGAGACAGGGTATTGTCAGGAGACAAGTGGCATTAGGACATTTGCATGTTGTTGTTTTTTCATCTTCTGATTGGACAGTCTCTTTTGGATGAGAATTTGACTCCCTGTAAATAGTTTTTGTGAAGGAGCTATGCGATACATGATGCCTAATTTGAGTGCAAATAATTTGTGAAACAAGTCATGTTTGATAGTCCTGTATATTTATAGTATTCGTCTAAAAGGGGATGTGCATCCTTGCATCCATGTCTAGATCCGCCTTCTAGTTTATCCAGATGTTCAATAGTTTCCGGACTAGCAAGTGTATATCAAACATTACGATCTAGATGGTCAAATCATGATAAACTGTCACATCATGAGCAGTGATTGAAATAAGTTTCAAACTCAACCATATAGTTGGGCAGGTGACCAATAAGTATTACCTGCCTGTCTTCAAAGTTGCCTGCCTGTCTTCAAAGTTGCCTGCCCACACTTTTGACTCAAATATTGCAATTTTGTAATCATTGGTTCAAATGTGTATTAATTAAGCAAATGCAAAACATCAAGCATGAAATACTCACTGTCACATCCCCTGTCTGTGACATTTCAAAAGTGCCTTGCAATCCTGCTTTCATAATCTTTATCATCAAAATATGACATGATAATTATGGATTGATAGAGTGAATAGTAAGTAGATTAGTCTTAAACTTATCAGCCAGACAATCGGGTTGAAGGAGATTTTTTCAGGCAGCCTGAGACGAAAGTTGACCGCCTCGGGCAGGCAGGCCGGCCGTTATTTCGATCACTGATCATGAGACAGGTTAGAACTCATTACCTCTGTTTGATATGGTGAACGTTGTGATGGTTTTACCAAGTGGGTTTCACCTTGTATAGGCTAATAGAGCGTTAAAGGTCTGAGTGTTTGGTGGTAAATCACAAAGTTGTCTCTAGTAGGAGAGTAGTTTGACATTTTACTGTCTGTGCACTTATTGCCGATCAGGTTTCTGTTGTGGAATTTGATCTTTCCCAAAAGTGCTACATTAAAATCATGGAATCTTGGCAGGAAGACTTTTCATAGTTTTTTCTGTCTCTCTCTGTTCATGGACAAAGCCATTTGTTTTCACTTGTTATTTTAAATAATTATAATACCAAGAGCAGAGTAAAAATACATGTATTCTGGTTGTTTGTTTCATAGCTGAGTGAAATAGGTTGAGGTCCAGATCAGTAATCTGTAGACCATCGACCGGTAGTTGTACCTTGGAGCACAGTGATCCTTCTTGATTGTCAGAGTTATAACTTACAGTACACAGTTTTAGCCTTTTTGGTTCTTAAGACTAGATTATGTTTCAGTCATTCAAAGTCCCTTGTGTTGTGTGAGAATGCTATGCTATATGAATTATTGAGATTGTAAAGTCAGTTACAATAGTAGTGTGTGTTCAAAACAAGACAGTATATTTAAAAATATTATTTTGTACAGACTTCTAATTTCCATGTTTATGGTATATCCTGCTGTTTTTATGTAGATTTGCTTTTCATTAGCACTTATTTGCCGATCAGGTTTCTGTTGTGGAATTTGATCTTTCCCAAGAGTGCTACATTAAAATCATGGAATCTTGGCAGGAAGACTTTTCATAGTTTTTTCTGTCTCTCTCTGTTCATGGACAAAGTCATTTGTTTTCACTTGTTCAGGGATTTACATGGACTCCAGTATTTGAGGGTCCCTGGGACTCATACTCTTAATTTACAGGGGTCCTGGACAACAAGATGGGGGTCCCAGACACTTAAACAGCATACATTGGGGGGGTTACGCAGACACCAGTTGATTTGGGTGACCTTGACCTTATCTTCAAGGTCACCACGACACTTTGACAGCTGTTCAAACTTATTTAAAAACGTGATATCTCATGAAATATTGCACCCAATGTTTTCAAGTATGTTGACAGCCTACATTGGGTGATTATGCAGACACCAGTCCTTTCAGGCATCTTGTATGTGACCCAAAAATAAAAAGTGATAAATATAGATATTCCCTTCTTTAGCGGCGGGGGACATTGCCATATCAGTGGCAAACAATTGTTGATTCTTAAGACTAGATTATGTTTCAGTCGTTCAAAGTTCCTTGTGTTGTGCCAGAATGCTATATGCATTATTGAGATTGTAAAGTCAGAGTTACGATGTGTGTGTTCAAAACTAGACAGTATACTTATAAAAAATATTTTGTACAGTCTTATAATGTCCATGTTCAGGGTATATCCTGCTGTTTTTTTGTGTAAATTTGCTTTTAATTAGCACTTATTTGCCGATCAGGTTCCTGTTGTGGAATTTGATCTTTCCCAAGAGTGCTACATCAACATCTTGGAACTTTGTCAGTGTGGCCTGTCTCGATCACATCTGTCACTCTTTCCAAGGACACATAGTTCTTGTATCTAAGAATTGTTTAAACAATTCATGCTGTGTTTATGTAGATTGGCTTTTCATTAGCACTTATTTGCCGATCAATTTTCTGTTATATACCAACTCATATTATTCTAAATAGACTTGCCATACAAATACAAAGTGTTTCGTATCCCAGTTCTATGGTGTTTTTGAAATTTGTGAAAGGCATTTCCAGTTCCATGGTAGTTGTGTTACTGACATGCTGATTAGATAGGAATACTGTCATCAAGTTGGACAGGCCAGCCTTGTAGGACTTAGTGTAACAGTCAGATGATTTGTTCTGCCAAGGCAATTTGTCATTATCTGTTAACTCTTGTTATCCCCCTTAACGCATTTTGCGTGGGGTATTAAAATGGACTTTGTCAGTCTGTGCACATTCGTCTTTTCCGCTGAACTGTTCGATATTTTTTCACTGAACTTGGCACATAGATTGGTCTGGTGGTGTACTGGTGCCTTTTGGTAGTTTTGGAATTCTCAATAAAATTTGTTTTTGTTTCCATGGCAACGAGTTTGACTTTAATTGAAATTGGTGGTTGTACTCTTTTCCAGAGCAGAACTTATAAAACGTTCACTATTGGCACATAAGTCAAGCGGTGACTGGTGCCTTTTGATAGTTTTGGGATTCTGAATAAAATAATTTTTTTGTATTTTTATGGCAACACGTTTTAGTTCGACTGAATTTGGTGGTAGTGCTCATTTCTGGGAGCAGAACTTAAAAACCTTTCAATCCTCTCCCTTCACTTTGCAATATACACACCAAAATATTTGACATAATCATAACTAGTAGACACATTCATGAAGAGTATTTTGCCATTACGGTGGATATTGATGACTTTGTCTTGTTATAGTGATTGGCAATAGGACTGGCTGCTATAAGGAAACCTTGTTATTTTATGACTGACAAGTGATAATCTCAATTCAAGATCATTGGTAATACACTCTGGCAACATACAAAATGATCAGGCGTATCATCTATGCTTACCGGGTCTACTTCAACCGACACAATTCATGTTGTAACAAGAAAAGTACTTCCGGTAAGGGAGTTTTCTCTCTTACATCAATAGGATTATGATAATCATCCCACCACTTTCATTTTTATGTCAGACACTGACGTTGATAGCAAGAGATAGTTTGGGGAAACAGCTGTATGTACTGCTGCAGCAGGAGGTGGAGGAGGAGGAGGTGGTCGTCCATGGATGTAATGTTCTGTATTTGACTCATTAGCTGATCAGGTCCCGTTTTCTCTAAACAAACTTAAGTCTGAGTTTTGACTTAAGTTCGAATTTTTGCTCAAATTTGAGAACGCATTTCCCATGTTGAACTGAAATCGATATTAAACTCAAACATAGTAGACAATTTGAGTTTGGTGAATAGAATACTTAACTTGTTTGGGCTTTTTTATTTTAAAAATGCAGCTGAGTTAAAAATTCAGCTGTTCCAAATTGTCATACTCAGTTTGAAGTTTGAGTAAAAACTTAAGTTTGTTTATGGATTGATGAGAGTGAATAGTAAGTAGATTAGTCTTAAACTTATAAGCCAGACAATCGGGTTGAAGGAGATTTTTTCAGGCAGCCTGAGACGAAAGTTGACCGCCTCGGGCAGGCCGGCAGGCCGGCCGTTATTTCGATCACTGATCATGAGACAGGTTAGAACTCATTACCTCTGTTTGATATGGTGAACGTTGTGATGGTTTTACCAAGTGGGTTTCACCTTGTATAGGCTAGTAGAGCGTTAAAGGTCTGAGTGTTTGGTGGTAAATGACAAAGTTGTCTCTAGTAGGAGAGTAGTTTGACATTTTACTGTCTGTGCACTTATTGCCGATCAGGTTTCTGTTGTGGAATTTGATCTTTCCCAAAAGTGCTACATTAAAATCATGGAATCTTGGCAGGAAGACTTTTCATAGTTTTTTCTGTCTCTCTCTGTTCATGGACAAAGCCATTTGTTTTCACTTGTTATTTTAAATAATTATAATACCAAGAGCAGAGTAGAAATACATGTATTCTGGTTGTTTGTTTCATAGATAAGTGAAATAGGTTAATGGGGGTCCCAGACACTTAAACATTATTATTAATACTGTTATTGTATTGTGTATCATGATCATCACATTGTTACTGTAATTCAATTGCGAATAATACCATAACCCAGCTAGTAGCAAACTCAGTGATAACTTATTGTCGCTTGATTGGAATTTTTACAAAAAGTATTTGGACTTTTTCTGACTCCCTTTGGATGCGCTAGTAAATTTTGTTGAGTCCAATGTCCATTTTTATGCGTATAGGACGCGGGAATTCGCGTCCTGTAAATCCCTGCTTGTTATTGTAAAGAATTATAGTACCTAGAGCAGAGTAGAAATACATGATTCTGATTAGTGAAATAGGTTGAGGTCCAGATCAGTTAGGTGTAGACCATCGACCGGTAGTTGTACCTTGGAGCACAGTGATCATGATCCTTCTTGATTGTCAGTGTTGATCAGTGTTGATTGACAGACTGTTTTCCATAACTTACTGTACACAATTTTAGCCTTATTGTCGCCCGCCACAATGCGGAACGGGGGACTGTGTTCAGCTACGTACGTCCCGATTCTTGTTAATGCGATATCTCATGAACTGTTGTACCCAATGTCTTCAAATTTGGTGAACGCCTACATTGGGGGATTACCCAGACACCAGTCGATTTTGGTGACCTTGACCTTATCTTCAAGGTCACCACGACACTTTGACCACTTTTCGAACTCTTGTTAACGAGATATCTCATGAACTGTTTTACCCAATGTCTTCAAATTTGCTGAACGCCTACATTGGGGGATTACCCAGACACCAGTCGATTTGGGTGACTTTTACCTTATTTTCAAGGTCACCACGACACTTTGACCACTTTTCTAACTCTTGTTAACTCGATATCTCATGGACTTTTGTACCCAATGTCTTCAAATGTAGTGACAGCATACATTGGTGGATTATGCAGAAACCAGTTGATTTGGGTGACCTTGACCTTATCTTCAAGGTCACCACGACTCTGACAGCTTTTCAAACTTATTTAAAAGTGATATCTCATAAAACATTGCACCCAATGTTTTCAAGTATGTTGACAGCCTACATTGGGTGATTATGCAGACAAGAGTCAATTCAGGCATCTTGTGTGTGACCCCAAAAAAAAGTGATAAATATAGATATTCCCTTCTTTAGCGGCGGGGGACATTGCCATATCAGTGGCAAACAATTGTTGATTCTTAAGACTAGATTATGTTTCAGTCGTTCAAAGTTCCTTGTGTTGTGCCAGAATGCTATATGCATTATTGAGATTGTAAAGTCAGAGTTACGATGTGTGTGTTCAAAACTAGACAGTATACTTATAAAAAATATTTTGTACAGTCTTATAATGTCCATGTTCAGGGTATATCCTGCTGTTTTTTGTGTAAATTTGCTTTTAATTAGCACTTATTTGCCGATCAGGTTCCTGTTGTGGAATTTGATCTTTCCCAAGAGTGCTACATCAACATCTTGGAACTTTGTCAGTGTGGCCTGTCTCGATCACATCTGTCACTCTTTCCAAGGACACATAGTTCTTGTATCTAAGAATTGTTTGAACAATTCATGCTGTGTTTATGTAGATTGACTTTTCATTAGCACGTATTTGCCGATCAATTTTCTGTTATATTATATACCAACTCATATTATACTAAATAGACTTGCCATACAAATACAAAGTGTTTCGTATCCCAGTTCTATGGTGTTTTTGAAATTTGTGAAAGGCATTTCCAGTTCCATGGTAGTTGTGTTACTGACATGCTGATTAGATAGGAATACTGTCATCAAGTTGGACAGACCAGCCTTGTAGGACTTAGTGTAACAGTCAGATGATTTGTTCTGCCAAGGCAATTTGTCATTATCTGTTAACTCTTGTTATCCCCCCTTAACGCATTTTGCGTGGGGTATTAAAATGGACTTTGTCAGTCTGTGCACATTCGTCTTTTCCGCTGAACTTTAAAACTGTTCAATATTTTTTCACTGAACTTGGCACATAGATTGTTCTGGTGGTGTACTGGTGCCTTTTGGTAGTTTTGGAATTCTCAATAAAATTTGTTTTTGTTTCCATGGCAACGAGTTTGACTTTAATTGAAATTGGTGGTTGTACTCTTTTCCAGAGCAGAACTTATAAAACGTTCACTATTGGCACATAGATAGGTCAAGTGGTGAACTGGTGCCTTTTGATAGTTTTGGGATTCTGAATAAAATAAGTTTTTTGCATTTTTATAGAATTTGGTGGTAGTGCTCAATTCTGGAGCAGAACTTAAAAACCTTCAATCCTCTCCCTCCACTTTGCAATATACACACCAAAATATTTGACATAATCATAACTAGTAGACACATTCATGAAGAGTATTTTGCCATTACGGTGGATATTGATGACTTTGTCTTGTTAACATGCTGATGGGCTATGGAACTGGCTGCTATAAGGAAACCTTGTTATTTTATGACTGACAAGTGATAATCTCAACTCAAGATCATTGGTAATACACTCAGGCAACATACAAAATGATCAGGCGTATCATCTATGCTTACCGGGTCTACTTCAACCGACACAATTCATGTTGTAACAAGAAAAGTACTTCCGGTAAGGGAGTTTTCTCTCTTACATCAATAGGATTATGATAATCATCCCACCACTTTCATTTTTATGTCAGACACTGACGTTGATAGCAAGAGATAGTTTGGGGAAACAGCTGTATGTACTGCTGCAGCAGGAGGTGGAGGAGGAGGAGGTGGTCGTCCATGGATGTAATGTTCTGTATTTGACTCATTAGCTGATCAGGTCCCGTTTTCTCTAAACAAACTTAAGTCTGAGTTTTGACTAAGTTCGAATATTTGCTCAAAGTTGAGAAAACGCATTTCCCATGTTGAACTGAGATCGATATTAAACTCAAACATAGTAGACAATTTGAGTTTGGTGAATAGAATACTTAACTTGTTTGGGCTTTTTTATTTTAAAAATGCAGCTGAGTTAAAAATTCAGCTGTTCCAAATTGTCATACTCAGTTTGAAGTTTGAGTAAAAACTTAAGTTTGTTTATGGATTGATAAGAGTGAAGAGTAAGTAGATTAGTCTTAAACTTATCGGCCTGACAATCGGGTTGAAGGAGATTTTTTCAGGCAGCCTGAGACGAAAGTTGACCGCCTCGGGCAGGCAGGCCGGCCGTTATTTCGATCACTGATCATGAGACAGGTTAGAACTCATTACCTCTGTTTGATATGGTGAACGTTGTGATGGTTTTACCAAGTGGGTTTCACCTTGTATAGGCTAATAGAGCGTTAAAGGTCTGAGTGTTTGGTGGTAAATCACAAAGTTGTCTCTAGTAGGAGAGTAGTTTGACATTTTACTGTCTGTGCACTTATTGCCGATCAGGTTTCTGTTGTGGAATTTGATCTTTCCCAAAAGTGCTACATTAAAATCATGGAATCTTGGCAGGAAGACTTTTCATAGTTTTTTCTGTCTCTCTCTGTTCATGGACAAAGCCATTTGTTTTCACTTGTTATTTTAAATAATTATAATACCAAGAGCAGAGTAGAAATACATGTATTCTGATTGTTTGTTTCATAGCTGAGTGAAATAGGTTGAGGTCCAGATCAGTAATCTGTAGACCATCGACCGGTAGTTGTACCTTGGAGCACAGTGATCCTTCTTGATTGTCAGTGTTGATTGACAGATTGTTTTCCATAACTTACAGTACACAGTTTTAGCCTTTTTGGTTCTTAAGACTAGATTATGTTTCAGTCATTCAAAGTCCCTTGTGTTGTGTGAGAATGCTATGCTATATGAATTATTGAGATTGTAAAGTCAGTTACAAGAGTAGTGTGTGTTCAAAACAAGACAGTATATTTAAATATATCATTTTGTACAGACTTCTAATTTCCATGTTTATGGTATATCCTGCTGTTTGTATGTAGATTTGCTTTTCATTAGCACTTATTTGCCGATCAGGTTTCTGTTGTGGAATTTGATCTTTCCCAAGAGTGCTACATTAAAATCATGGAATCTTGGCAGGAAGACTTTTCATAGTTTTTTTTCTGTCTCTCTCTGTTCATGGACAAAGCCATTTGTTTTCACTTGTTATTTTAAATAATTGTAATACCAAGAGCAGAGTAGAAATACATGTATTCTGGTTGTTTGTTTCATAGCTGAGTGAAATAGGTTGAGGTCCAGATCAGTAATCTGTAGATAGCAGCAGCAACAGGAGGAGGTGGTCGTCCATAGATGTAATGTTCTGTATTTGACTCATTAGCTGATCAGGTCCCGATTTCTCTAAACAAACTTAAGTCTGAGTTTTGACTTAAGTTCGAATATTTACTCAAATTTGAGAAAACACATTTCCCATGTTGAACTGAAATCGATATTAAACTCAAACATAGTAGACAATTTGAGTTTGGTGAATAGAATACTTAACTTGTTTGGGCTTTTTTATTTTAAAAATGCAGTTGAGTTAAAAATTCAGCTGTTCCAAATTGTCAAACTCAGTTTGAAGTTTGAGTAAAAACTTAAGTTTGTTTCGAGAAATCAGGGCCAGGCTTGGAATTTGTTCTTTCCTAGGAGTTATTCCTGAACATCAAGCAGCTTGTACTGGAATGACTGTCTCTGTCAGTCTTGACAACTATCAGTCTTCATGGAACATATTTACCTTGAATTTTGACAGTGTAAACCTACCTTGTCGTTAATTGAGGCTATTGTTCTGTGTGCAGAGCCACAAAGGGGCGTTTGTGCCAATTGGAATGGACATGCCACAAACCATGCCGTATGGTAATCTGAATCAGTCCCATGGAGAAGAAATGGATCTGGATACCAGTCACGATGAGAAGAAAGATGATGACCACGATCATCGCCGTAGCTCCCACAGGTCACGGGACAGGTCACGGTGAGCTTTTCAAGGATTTGTGGTTTATTCTGCAGGATTGTGGGAGATCCCTAGTATTCTATGTATGTCATTATGTAGCATTGTTTGAACTTGAACTTGAACATTCAAACTTCCTTCTACAGCAGGGAAAACTCCATCTGTACATTTTCACTTGCAAGGAGTTGCATTCCAGTCAAGGTGGTTGTAGGGTATATCTGCAGTATTCAAGTTCACATGCAAGTTTTCTAATATGAAAGTTCATTGTTGTAGATCACCAAAAAGACGCAAGAGGTCAAGGTCAAGATCTCGTGAAAGAAGGCGGAGGTCAAGGTCAAGGGATCGGCATCGAAGGTCAAGGTAAGGTTTTAGATGTTTTGGAGTAGTTTTTTATATTCCAGTGACTGGTTTGATAAATTTAACAATTAATGCACTTAAAGCAAATTGCAGTTATCGTATGAAACTCTGAGAATCTACCACATAATGGCACAGTAATGCACATCCCCATCATCTGTATGATTATCAGTGCAACTTTGTGAAAGAAATCGAGCAGTTAGATTGAAATGTTTTGTCTGTCATGAAGCCTGTGAAATATGTTTGCAGATCTCGTGATCGAGACAGAGAACGACAGAAAGAGAAGGAAAAGGAGCGCAGGAAAAAGGGATTGCCTTTAATAAAAGAAAAACATATTAGTGGTAAGTTGAAGTTTATGAACTTTTGTAAAATATGTATGTTGGATATGACTAATATATTTGAGAAAATTCATCAAATTGGACTGCAGTTGTATGAGAAGAATGCTGTTTTAAGTTAACAAAAAGTGTTCAATGCACGTTAAAGACATATGGAAGTGTTTCTTTCCTTTGAAAAACCTTTTCTTTGTTTCAGTGTGTAGTACGACTTTGTGGATAGGTCATATATCCAAGTATACTACGGAAGAGGAACTGCGAGAAGAAATAGAAAAATATGGTGTTGTAGAATCTGTAAATGTGAGTTTTGCGAGAATTATACCCTAATGCAAATTATTTGTGTTAACCTCGATGCAGATACGTTATAATCAAGTCGGTAGCTTTCCCAGTGATGGTATCGTATTGTATTGTGCATTTTCAACTCATTAAGCAGTTCTATGACTAAATTTTGTGGATTTTCTTCTCTGTTCAATGTTGTACTCGGCAATATTCCAGCTCTATGATGACTTAACTAAGTCTTGACCAGAGTCCAGTGACTGAAATCATGATACCTTGATCTGTCCACTTGAGATAAATTTGAGCCTTTGAACGGCTTTTAGAAGTGATACACACAAGGTGAGAATTTATGGCTGTCAACTTCTTTGTGAGGAACGCAATGTTTCAGAGTATATTCTTACTGCATCGTGTTCCTGAAATACAGAAGTTGAGATCCATAAATTCTCGCCTTGAGGCAAGATGACATGCATCCCACCAAATTATTAAGCCTGATCATCCATTTAGTCTTATTAGGTGAGGAATGGAAGATCAAAATGGAATCCTTGGCATTGGGTATCTCTTGTACATACTGAAATTTGGTCGATAATGGCAGCCACCTGAGAACCCCATTCTTCTCTGCACAGTTGCTTCCCTTGAAATCCAGATTATTTTCTTGATATTTGATCAAGTGGTTGACATCACTCTGGACACCTGCGTCACTTCTTCATTCTGCAATTATTCAAGGTGATGTTAATTCTAACTCACTGATATGGACGCTGACAAAAAAAACAAACCACCCCCATCTTTCCAGGGTATTTAACAATTTTTCTTTGTGATGTGTTCCTTTGTAAACTGTGAAACTTACCTTTTCCCTTCTTTTGCAGATGATTCCCCCAAGGGGATGTGCGTATGTGTGTATGGCGAGAAGAAAAGATGCCTATAAGGCTGTGGAAAAGATGGCGAGAGGGTGCAAGATAAATGGGAGTACTATTAGAGTGAGTGGTAGCTTCTCTGGACACAAAACACTTGTTTGTCATCTCAGTACACTATACAAAGGAAAGAATAATTGTCAAATGAATGTTGTAAGTTTTTCTGATTTGTATCACTGTGAAACTCAACTTACATGTTTTGACCCTGTCATGGGCAACATGATGTACAGAGGTGTGCCCCTTAGCACATGCTAATTTTGAATCAGTTTTAGGAGTATAAGACTAATTGTTTCAGATTGCGTTTGCTCCTGGAATCGGTGTAAAGGGTAATGAGTACAAGGAGGGCTGGCATGCAGACCTAGGCGTTACTTACATAGCATGGAATAAGCTGCCACTCGAGATCAACCCTCTTTGTGAAGGAGGGATGATTGATGAGGACTCCCTTCCCACACACCTCCGAGGTAAGACTATGTGCATGTTTAGTTTGAAGCTATGTTCAACAAAGAGTGTGTTCAACACATACCTACAGGTTGAATGGGAAGGTTTATTTAAAAACTCAAAAAATAGATGTTTGGAAAATAACTGGTAGGTTAGTTTAACTGGGTAATGCAAATCTTTTGTTTTCAACTCGAGTGAAGTAATAATAATTATATTTCTCTTCATCATTTTTCTTCTGAAAATTCTGAGACCTGATGGGTTAGCCTAATTGCATGAGCCAATTGTATGTCAAACCCTATTCTTTAAAATGGACTATGATACATATAGTAGTTGTCTTTTTATCCCACCGGCGTATAATGCGGTGGGATATTCGTCGCCTTGTCCTGTCCGTCAAACTCCGTCCGTCCGTCCATCCGTCCGTCCCAGAATCATTTTGTTTCCAGGACCATAACTCAAAGACCGTTCGATATTTTTTAACCAAAAATTGATAGATATGTCAAAAATAACCTAACCTAAGGTGGTGCCTTTTGCTATTTACAGATAATTGTCATTTTTTATTTCTCTCGGTTTCCATGGAAACGCTTTTGGACTTAGTCTTAAAGAAGGGTGGGCTTGTTTCCGAGCATAACTCAAAGAACCGTTCGATATTTTTCAACAAAACTTGGTAGATATATCAAACAGAACCTAAGGTGGTGCCTTTTGCTATTTACAGATTTTTGTCATTTTTATTTTTCGGTTTTCCATGGAAACGATTTGGACTTAGTCCCAAAGAAGGATGGGCTTCGCCGTTTCGAGCATAACTCAAGAACCGTTCAATATTTTTCAACAAAACTTGGTAGATATATCAAACAGATCCTAAAGTGGTGCCTTTTGCTATTTGCAGATTTTTGGCATTTTATTTTCTTGGTTTCCATGGAAACATTTTGAACTTAGTCTCAAAAGTGAGGGTGGCTTTCGTTTCGGAGCATAACTCAAGAACCATTCAATATTTTTCAACAAAACTTGGTAGATATATCAAACAGATCCTAAAGTGGTGCCTTTGCTATTTGCAGATTTTTGGCATTTTATTTTTTTCCTCGGTTTCCATGGAAACGATTCGGACTTAGTCCCAAAAGTGAGGGGTGGGCTTCGTTTCGAGCATAACTCAAGAACCGTTCAATATTTTTCAACAAAACTTGGTAGATATATCAAACAGAACCTTAAGTGGTGCCTTTTGCTATTTACAGATTTTTGGCATTTTATTTTCTTGGTTTCCATGGAAACGATTTGGACTTAGTCCCAAAAGTGAGGGTGGGCTTCGTTTCCGAGCATAACTCAAGAACCGTTCAATATTTTTCAACAAAACTTGGTAGATATATCAAACAGATCCTTAAAGTGGTGCCTTTTGCTATTTGCAGATTTTTAGCATTTTATTTTTTCTGGTTTCCATGGAAACATTTTGGACTTAGTCTCAAAAGTAAGGGGTGGGCTTCGTTTCCGAGCACAACTCAAAAAACCATATAATATTTTCAACAAAACTTGGCAGATATATCAAACAGATCCTAAAGTGGTGCCTTTTGCTATTTGCAGATTTTTGGCATTTTTATTTTTCCCGGTTTCCATGGAAACGATTCGGACTTAGTCCCAAAAGTGAGGGTGTGGGCTTCAGTTTCGAGCATAACTCAAGAACCGTTCAATATTTTCAACAAAACTTGGTAGATGTATGAAACAGAACCTTAAGTGGTGCCTTTTGCTATTTGCAGATTTTTGGCATTTTTATTTTTCTTGGTTTCCATGGAAACATTTTGGACTTAGTCTCAAAAAGTAAGGATTGCTTTCGTTTCCGGAGCACAACTCAAAAACCATATAATATTTTTCAACAAAACTTGATAGATATATCAAACAGATCCTAAAGTTGTGCCTTTTGCTATTTGCAGATTTTTGGCATTTTTATTTTTCCCGGTTTCCATGGAAACGATTTGGACTTAATCCCAAAAGTGAGGGGTGGGCTTCGTTTCCGGAGCATAACTCAAGAACCGTTCAATATTTTTCAACAAAACTTGGTAGATGTATGAAACAGAACCTTAAGTGGTGCCTTTTGCTATTTGCAGATTTTTGGCATTTTAATTTTTCTTGGTTTCCATGGAAACATTTTGGACTTAGTCTCAAAAAGTAAGGATTGCTTTCGTTTCCGGAGCACAACTCAAAAACCATATAATATTTTTCAACAAAACTTGGTAGATATATCAAACAGATCCTAAAGTTGTGCCTTTTGCTATTTGCAGATTTTTGGCATTTTTATTTTTCCCGGTTTCCATGGAAACGATTCGGACTTAGTCCCAAAAGTGAGGGTGGGCTTCCATTTCGGAGCACAACTCAAAACCTCTCTATATCTTTCAGCAAAACTTGGCAGATATGTGAGGCAGATATTGAAGTGATGCCTTTGCTATTTGCAGATATTTGTGATTTATTATTTTCTTGGTTTCCATGGAAATGATTCGACTTAGTCTCAAAAAGGAAGGGATGGGTTTTGTTTCGGAGCACAACGCCTCGAAAACTTCTTAATATCTTTCAGCAAAACTTGGCGAATATGTAGAGGCAGATCCCAAAGTGGTGCCTTTGCTATTTGCAGATTTTGTCATTTATTTTTTTCATGATTTCCATGGAAGTGATTTGCACTTAGTCTAAAATCAAGCTGGACTTTAAGTAACTGTCAGATGATTTGTTCTTTCAAAGATGTGGGGCCCGGGGGGATATGTCATCTTCTGATGACTCTTGTTAGTCCTGTCAGACGTTTCTTTGTTACGTTGGGTTGGGGTTTTTACAATTTTTTATATTTTATTTATTCTTGATAAAGACCTGTTACACTTAGATTTTTTATATATTTTACAGTTCGCCCTCATTGTTGATAAATTTTGTTTCGAGACCTGTTACATATTTTCAACAAAAATTGGTGGATATGTCAAACATAACCTAAGGTGGTGCCTTTTGTATTTACAGATTATTGTCATTTTTATTTTCGCCGGTTTCCATGGAAACGTTTTGGACTTAGTCTTAAAGAAGGGTGGGCTTCGTTTCGGAGCATAACTCAAAAACGCTCAATATTTTCAACAAGACTTGGTAGATATATCAAACAGAACCTAAAGGTGCCTTTTGCCTTTGCAGATTTTTGGCATTTTACAGATTATTGGAAGCGATTTTACTCCCATTTTTCGGAGCATAACTCAAGAACCGTTCCATGGAAACGTGGTTATATCAAACAGAACTTAGTCTTTTGCTATATGCAGATTTTTGGCATTTTTATTTTTCCCGGTTTCCATGGAAACGATTCGGACTTACTCCCAAAAGTGAGGGGTGGGCTTCGTTTCCGGAGCATAACTCAAGAACCGTTCAATATTTTTCAACAAAACTTGTTAGATATATCAAACAGATCCTAAAGTGGTGCCTTTTGCTATTTACAGATTTTTGGCATTTTTATTTTTCCCGGTTTCCATGGAAACATTTTGGACTTAGTCTCAAAAAGTAAGGATTGCTTTCGTTTCCGGAGCACAACTCAAAAACCGTATAATATTTTTCAACAAAACTTGGTAGATATATGAAACAGAACCTTAAGTGGTGCCTTTTGCTATTTGCAGATTTTTGTCATTTATTATTTTCTCAGTTTCCATGGAAACAATTCGGACTTAGTCTCAAAAGGGAGGGGTAGGTTTTGTTTCCGGAGCACAACGCGAAAACTTCTTAATATCTTTCAGCAAAACTTGGCAGATAGGTGAGGCAGATCCCAAAGTGGTGCCTTTTGCTATTTGCAGATTTTTGTCGTTTATTTTTTTCATGATTTCCATGGAAACGATTTGCACTTGTCTAAAATCAAGCTGGACTTTAAGTAACTGTCAGATGATTTGTTCTTTCAAAGATGTGGGGGCCGGGGGGATATGTCATCTTCTGATGACTCTTGTTTACAATTATTATCCCCCGCAACGCGTTTTTCGGGGGGTATTAAAATGGGCTCAGTCCGTCGGTCCGTCCGTGCACATTTGTCTTTTCCGGAGCAGAACTCTAAAACCGTTGAATATTTCTTCACCAAGCTTGGCACATAGATAGATCTGGTGGTGTACTGGTGCCTTTTGGTAGTTTTGGAATTCTGAATAAAATATTTTTGGCTTTTCCATGGCAACAAGTTTGACTTAGCCTGAAATTGTAGTAGTGCTCTTTTCGGGAGCTGAACTCTAAAACCGTTCAATATTTCTTCACCACACTTGGCACATAGATTGGTCTAGTGGTGTACTGGTGCCTTTTGGTAGTTTTGGAATTCTGAATAAAATATTTTTTGGCATTTCCATGGCAACAAGTTTCACTGAAATTGGTGATAGTGCTGCTTTCTGGAGCAGAACTTTAAAAACCTTTCAATACTCTCCTTCCACTTTTCTATATACACACCTAAATATTTGACATAATCATAACTCCTAGACATAATCATGAAGAGTATTTTGCCATTGCGGGGGATATTGATTTCTTTGTCTTCTTGTTGATATCAATGATGGAGAAGGTTTTTTGCACTTATTTGCCGATCAGGTTTCTATGTGTGGAATTTGATCTTTCCCAAGAGTGCTACATCAACATCTTGGAATTTTGTCAGTGTGGCTTCTCTTGATCACATCTGTCACAATTTCATGGACATGGCTCCAGACGGACGGAGCCTAACACTATATTCCCCGCTTCGCTCTAAACGTTTATATTTTAAGAATGGTTCACTGGATTTTCTTCATAGACTTTCAAGAACTCCCTTGAATGTTTTTCAATAAGCAATTTCTTTAGTACTAGTTTTGCACTTTTCATACACTATGACATTCATGTCAAGGTCAAAGGCAGTCTTGAAAATATATGTGTGTTTGAACAACTAAAGAGCAAGATAATGTTTTTGTTGACATTTAACTTTATCTTAAACTTTCATTACTTTATAAATTTGAATTGTTAAATTGCGGCGGGGGATTATGTCACCTTAGTGACAATGCTTGTTATCCCCCGCAACGCGTTTTGCGGGGGG